AATAGTGGCATTGCTGGGTGAAGATGTCATCTCATTTGAGGTGGAGGCATAGCCCTGAGCCATCTGCATGCCCTTGTCTTCAGGCTCAGGGGACCTCTCAGGTGTAGTAGCGGGGCTGGTGATTGGGTCGGATGTAGGTGAGCTGACCCTATGTGCGGGGGGGGGGGTGCAGAGGAGGGAGCTGCCATCTGAATCTGAGGAGCTCAACATAAAGGTCAAGCCAGACGACGAAGGCTTGATCCCGTGGCTGTGGTACAGTGCAGAGCCAGCACTGGTTGGGGTATCTCCATCATTGCAATCCTCAATCTCAAGGCCAGTCCATGGCTTGTTGGCAATGCAAATGGTGTGAGTGCTTTCGGGCGCAAACCCTCCCTCTGGATCAGGGAGGAGGCATGTCTCAGACCATCCACCTTCGTCTCCATATCTGTGACATGTCAATATTATGAAAATGACCTGCACCCAAAGGCATACCAGTGTGTCCCTCCATAGTAATAAACATCATGCAGCCTGTAGAGGGGCAATTGAGGAAGTAGGCTTCGATAGGACAATGCTTGTCATTTGGTGGAGATAGTCAGAGTAAGTGCATAGCAGTGCAGGGTGGCTGGAGGCTGGCCCCCAAAAACACATGTGCATGGGACACCTGGGTAAGCAAACTCTGCAGTGTGGTACTGAGGCATTGAGGGGCACATGCTCCTGCCTTATCTCTCCACCTGTCAATTGTTGTTGTCATACAAATAAGGCAACTATTGTTCCTGTACTCATTGTATACTTTTCGAGGTCCCCTCTCCCTGTCCATCTACATGCTTCCACCATTAGGAGGTGTGGATGGTGATATGGATCAGCAGAAGTGGGCACTGGGGCAAGCTTCCTCGCTCCCCTGATTGAGGCTATGCAAACTGCCATGTAGCAATGGGCAAATTTGCTCCCCAAAGCAGATGGATGGAACAGTCACCCTTCTCACCACAAAGACTCAAATTGGGGTTGCACGCCACTGGATATAAGTCTCATTGATTGTTCCTCAGTCTGTGTTCCTCTTCTTTCTAACCCAGCCATTCAAAATGGTCCACAAACACCAAAAGAACAAAGCCCATGCTGCCTGCCAGGCCACTACTACCACACCTACTGCAGCTACAAACTCTACCATGCATACCATGGCTCCACATGCTACAGCTCTTATGCCCTCTACCTTGTCTACCGACACCCTCATGGCTGCTCTTGGCATCAACAGGCCCCCATCTCTGACCACCTCCACTGTCAACTATACTCTCCCGGCAGTGACTGAGATGCCTTGGTGGGAGGCAATGCAGTCCGTGGCTGAGCTGCCTATACGTCCTAAGCCTGGCAAGCCAGTGGTCAAGGCAGCAGGGGAGAAGAAGTTGTTTGCAGCAGGTCCGCCTGTCATGCATACAGATGAGTTATACTGGTAAGCAGACTACTGCATGACATTGTCCTATTTGATCTGACTCATTGTCAGCACCTCTGGAATCGTTTTCAACTCCGTGATAGGATGTACAAATTTGTGGTCCTGCAAGCATCTGGAGCAGGATGAGGAGGGGAACTTTTGGTACTCTCCGGAGATGGGTGAGAAGATCAATGTGACAGATGTTATAATTTGGTAAGGACTCTTTAAGCACTACTTCTGCTGCTTCCTGACATGCTGCACAGCTTGTCTATCCATCACTTGGACAATCCTTGTATGCACATTATGGTGGAGCTTCATACAGATACCTCTGCTGCACCAAGGGTGCACATTGTCAGGGCACCAGCTCATTGCTTGGTCAAGAGACATGACTAAGCCTTTATGACATGGAAGTAGCTGGTATACCTTGGCATGTGCTGGAACCTGCTGGAAGGATTGGATGGTCAGGTGACCTGCTGTGCATGGCTGTGCATGACCTCATATGACCTCATCCTTGGTCATATGACCTGATCACCTGACTAGGCTGAGTAAGCAAGATGTTCTAGCAGGTTCCACCACAGAGGTTTAAATATAAGGCCTACTCTGCCTGGGG